TTCCAGTGGATTGTCCCCAACTTGAAGATGAATGCTACAGGGAATTGATGAGAGCGGGTTATCCACCTGGTGTTTTGGTTCGAACAACACTTGAAATCACTGATTGAAGAATTCAGCAGCTGGTAATAGTGTACTGAAGAAGACGGATATCTTCATCTGAAGATTGCAGTAAAGCCAGGCGGTGGTGGTGGTGGTGGTGGTGGTGGTGGTGGTGGTGGCGGCGGCGGCGGCGGCGGCGGCGGCGGCGGCGGCGGCGGCGGCGGCGGCGGCGGCGGCGCACGCCTTTAATCCCAGCACTGGGAGGCAGAGCCAGGCAGATCTCTGTGAGTTCGAGGCCAGCCTGGGCTACAGAGTTCTAGGAAAGGCGCAAAGCTACACAGAGAAACTGTCTCAACCCCCCTCCCCCACAAAAAAGATTGCAGTATCTTCATTTACTTTTTTACCCCCTCCCTGCCAGGTTCTGCTACGTAGCTGCTGGTTACCTGGAACTCACTGTATAGGCTGGGCTGGCCTTGAACTCACAGAACTCCTCTACCTTTGGAGGCATGAGCACCATGCCCAGCCCTAATTTTGTAATTTTTACTTTCTTAACATTTTTGAGGTTTTAAGTACCTATTTAAATGTGAAGTTCAGTGAATTTTGAGAAGTATGTGTACTCAGCTTGTGAATGTCCATCACCGCACATTTCTTATACCTAGTCAGTCTCCATCCCTACCCTCAAGACAACCATTCCTTCCTCCATCATTACTTTTGATTAGTTCTATTTTTCCAGTAGAGCCCTATGAATGAGGGAAGAGAGTGTGTACTCTTGTACTTTGCTTGGCAGAATGTTTTTTAAAGAACTGTTTAGTTTAAGAAATTTCGGGCTGGAGAGATGGCTCAGAGGTTAAGAGCACTGGCTGTTCTTTCAGACGTCATGAGTTCAATTCCCAGCAACCACATGGTGGCTCACAACCATCTGTAATGAGATCTGGTGCCCTCTTCTGGCCAGCAGGCATGCAGGCAGAACACTGTATAAATAATAAACCTTTAAAAAAAAAAGATATTTCATGTTATGTCAAAGCCATTATACATTCATCTTTTTATAGACATTTGGGCTGTTTCTAATTTTTTAAATTATAAATGAAGTGTTTATGATCATTTGTGCACAAGTCTTAGTGAGGAGTTGGATTTTTCATTTCTTATGGGTAAATAAATACCTGTCTTGGATAATGTTCAAAAAAATTTTTTTTTCTTCAATTTTTTTTTTTTTTCAAGATAGGGTTTCTCTGTGTAGCTTTGGAGCCTGTCCTGGACACTGTAGACCAGGCTATCCTCGAACTCACAGAGATCTGCCTGCCTCTGCCTCCCGAGTGCTGGGATTAAAGGCGTGCACCACCACCACCACCACCACCACCACCACCACCACCACCACCACCACCACCACCGCCCGGCTGAATAGATTTTTTTTTTTATTCCCTCCCTCCCTCCCAACAAACTCATTGTGTAGCCAGTGATGATCTTGAACTGCTGATTTTGCCTCTACTTCTCAAATGCTGGAATTAAAGGAGTGAACCACTGCTTCAGGCTGGATAGATTTTCTGAATGTGCTGGATATAGTTAGCTTTTTATGAAACTGTCAAATTGTTTTCCAAAGTAGTTGGACCACTTTTATTCCTGTGAGCAGTCTTTACCAGTTCAGTTATTCGGAACTTTAATCCTTGGTGTTTGATATGCATCTTTAATTTTAGCCATTCTATTGTCTGTAGTTTCTCACTGTGTTTTTTCTCTCATATATTACATCCCGATTGTAGTTATCCCTCTTTCCTCTTCTTTCCCTCAATCCACTTCTCCTACATTTCCCTTCAGAAAAGGGCAGGCCTGCCAGGGATATCAACCAAACATGGCATATCAATTGCAATGGCAACTCTCCTCATATTAAAGCCGGATGAAGGGGCTGGAGAGATGGCTCACTGGTTAAGAGCACTGGCTGCTCATCCAGAGGATCTGAGATCAATTCCCAGTACCCATATGTTTGTTGGCTCACAGCCATCTGTAACTATAGTTACAGGGGATCTGACAGCCATTTCTGGCCTCCAAGAGCACTACGTGAATGTGGTGCCCAGACACACATGCAGGCAGAACACCCTTCCACATAAAAATCAAAGATTAAAAAAAGCTGGATTGCCGGGCGGTGGTGGCGCACGCCTTTAATCCCAGCACTCGGGAGGCAGAGGCAGGTGGATCTTTGTGAGTTCGAGGCCAGCCTGGTCTACAGAGCGAGATCCAGGAAAAGGCGCAAAGCTACACAGAGAAACCCTGTCTCAAAAAACCAAAAAAAAAAAAAAAAAAGCTGGATGAAGCTACCCAATGAGGGGAAAAGGGTCCCACAAGCAGGCAAAAGAGTCAGAGACAGCCCCTGCTCCCACTGTTAGGGATCCCACAAGAAGACCAAGCCACAGAACCAAAATAAATATGTGGAGGGCCTAGGTCAGACCCATGTAGGCTACCTGACTGTTGGTTCAGTCTCTGTGGGCCCCTATGGGTCCAGGTTAGTTGATTCCGTCTTACTATGATTTAAATAGCATTTTCTTTTAAGTATCTTTTGATATGCTTACAGCCATTTGTATATTATTTTATTTTGAGACAGGGTCTCATGTAGCTCAAACTAGCCTTGAACTTGTTACGTAGCTGATGATAACCTTGAATTTCTGATTCTTCTGCTTTTACTTCCCAAGTGCTGGGATTATAGGTATGCACCATTATGCCTACATGGTGCTAGGGCTTTGTGTATATTGAGTAAGCACTCTTTATCAACTGAGCTGTGTCTTTAGCCTCTGTGTGTCTTTTTCTAGGGAAATGTCCTTAGGAATCTTTTACCCATTTAAAAATAAACTTGTGCCGGGCAGTGGTGGCACACGTCTTTAGTCCCAGCACTCTCGTAAGGCAGAGCCAGGTGGATCTCTGAGTTCCAGGCCGGTCTGGTCTACAGAGCGAGATCCAGGGCAGGCACCAAAACTACACAGAGAAACCCTGTCTCAAAAAACCAATAAACAAACAAAGGGACGTACGGACGGATGGATGAATAAATAAGTAAAAGATAAACTTGCCTTGTTATTGAATTATAAAATTTATATATTCTGAATAGACATCACTTATTAGAAATGTGTTGCCCTCCGCCCATGAAGTACCTTATTTTTGTTATATTTCTATCTGGGTGTATGTGTATGCGTGTGTGTACGTAGGCTTAGAGCATGGTGCTTGAATGGAGGTCAGAGAACAACTTGTGGGAGTTGGCTGGCTCTTTCTACCATCTGTGGACATGGGGATTGAACACAGGTTCTCAGGCCTTTGCCTACTGAGCTAGCTTATTGGCCCAGCATTGATTTCCCCCCAGATAGAAATCCACTTGTACTGGCACTTTTTGCTAAAGAACTAGTCTTTCTCCTGTTGAATGGTTTTGCCACTTTACTGAAAACTAGTCGAGCATTTTGAACTTTATATTTTGCTCTGCCATTCTCTAAGTCTCTTCTTAAATTCAGTTCTACAGTATCTTATTTGTTATAACTTTGTAATAATCCTTAAAGTTAAATAGTACAAAATTTCCAACTTGATTATTTTATTTTCCCTTATGCTTGTTTTCGCTGTTACAGATTACTTATTTTTTTTAAACTCTTTCTGACACTTGATAGAGCTACTTTTGGAGGTTAGCTTATTTTTGTCTTCATCTCACTTTTTTTTTTTTTGTTTTTTTTTCAAGACAGGGTTTCTCTATGTAATTTTGGTGTCTGTTCTGGATCTCACTCACAGAGATCCGCCTGCCTCTGCCTCCTGAGTGCTGGAATTAAAGGCATGTGCCACCACCACCTGGCTCATCTCATTTTTTTAAAGATTAAAAAAAAATTATTTTTGAAACCAGGTTTTATGTAGCCAAGCTGATGTCAAACTTGATGATTCTAAATTTCTGATCTTTGCATCTGCCTCTTGATGTGTTGGATTAGGACCACCCCCTTCACTACACACACACACAGCACACCCCCTTCCCCCACCAGATATTATTGGTGCTGGGGATTTAAACTCAGGACTCCATGAGTGATAGGCAAGTACTCTACCAGCTGAGCTGCCTCTCTAGTTCCTTTTCTAACTTCTCTAAAAGTGTATTTTCACAATATACCCAGTGTACCAAAATGCTGTTTGGTGGACAGATGATTGCTGTTTAACCTGACAGTTGCCTCCTTCTAATTTCTCATTCTTTGCAGTGTTGAGCTGTCACTCATTTAATACTTTATTGAGCTGTGTTGAATTTAGGATTAGTTAACAGAAAATGCCTGTCTTTCCTGAAGTCAGGTATAGGTTTTTCCTAATTACCTTAATGATTAGTTAATATTTCAATTTTCTTGTGAGATATGTAGATATATTATCTCCCCTCCCTCTTTGCAACATTGGGTCTTGCTTTGTATCTCAGGCTAGCTTGGAACTCATTATGAACCCCAGGCTAGCCTTGCACTCATGGTAATTTTCCTACTTCTGCCTCTCTAATGCTGGGATTACAGGAAGGAGCCATCATATCTGGCAGACATTAATGTTTCTGTGTCTTGTTTTGTTAGCCCTTTGTAGTCTTTCTAGAAATTTACTAAGTTGCGGGATTTGCATGTAATGTCTTTGAAGCTTATTATCAAACTTTATTGTATCTAAGCTGGATTTAACTTGCATTCTTAAAAACCAGCCATTATATTATATAGGAAGTTGTATGAATGGTTTTGGAAGCAAAAAATATTAACATTTCTATTTTATGTTTTTCCATATCCAGAGGATGCCAGCCCCCATCAGATTGCGGGAGCTGATCCGGACCATCCGGACAGCCCGAACCCAAGCTGAGGAACGAGAAATGATCCAGAAAGAATGTGCTGCAATCCGGTCATCATTTAGAGAAGAAGACAATACATACCGGTGTCGGAATGTGGCAAAATTACTATATATGCACATGCTGGGCTACCCTGCTCACTTTGGACAGGTAGGCTGAGGGGAGACCACATCTAGCAAGGACACTTCTTTTTTGGTGACAGTGACTTAGGGAACCAATCAAACCTTTCCTGGCAGGGAGGTGCCTGTAGTTTGCAGTCTGATCATTGTGGCACCAAGGGTAGGATGGAGAGCAGTCGTGTACCTGGAAAGGCACGGTATTCCCTCATTTGTCCTCCCTTGTAATTCTTTATGTGGATCCGAGGTTTTTTTCCTTGTCAGTGGTGGCCCCTAGCTTAAATATTTCCCAGACTAACCAGAGGACTAGTTGTTCTGCCAGAGGACCTGGGCTATAATGAATATTTAATTAGTGTTTGCTAATCGTTTTCTTAGTTACTCTCCTTGTGCATGATATATGGGAAAATGTCTTGACAGATGCTTTTAAGTTAAAGATATTAAGTGGATGCCAGGTACTTGCATTTTATTTTGTTCTGATTTCCTCAAGTCTCAGTTGCTGCCACTCTTGTTCAACTCTGTCTGCCTGCTGATTCTCTTCCTGACAAATGTCCGCTCTTTGCTTTCTCCAGTCTGTGCACTGAGGATGATGGTTTCAGTTGCAGGTGCTTTTTTCTTTTGATGCTTTTATTGTGATAAAAGGGGCTTAGGATTTAGTCTTAGAAGAAATATGAGTTGTTTAAAAATTTCTTAAGAACATTTTTAGTCTCAAATTCTATTCTACATAAGTCAATGCTAACTAGTCTTTTTAAGGGAATGGACTGCAAAATTGAAAGAAAGTGCAACTCTAGGGAAGAAAAAGTACTCACACGGCCTTCTCAGAGATAACTTGACACGTCTGTCGGGACAGCAGGCGGCTTGTCTGTTTAGCTCCTGCCTCTTAAAACAAAGTCCTCAGACGGAGTTTTGTCAGACTGCTCTCAGTTGGTGTTCTCTTAGGTTGAGGGCTGTAAGTGGAGTCAGCTTCTTTAGAGATACACAATTAGGCATGGAAGAGCATTAGTTCCGAGGAGAACTAGGGTATTACTGTGAGAAGAAAGGAGACTGGGTTAGAAGAAAGGGAGCAGCAAAAAGAGCAGCGATCTCCTGTGGGTGCGTGTGGGTGCGTTCATTCACTGTTTGATTTCCATGAGAGTAGTCCTAACTAGCGTTGTTATTCACACCTGTCATTAACAGTTTTCTAAAAAATATAACTGGTGCCTCCTTTGATACAAATTTTATATTTTATTCTTACAGAATTAATGGAATCAGAGCCTAAAGATGCTAATATTTCAAGGTATAGGCTACTTAAATTTGATCCAAATGATTACTGTATACTACATGGCATGATAGAAAACATGGGTGTCCATATAGTCTTGGTTGATTTTCGTTTGAAACATCAAGTCAGATTTATAGAAGTATGATATTAGAATTGAGCTTTAAAAAGAAAAGGTAACCTGGTTGAGAAAAGACTCAGAATCCTTCCACTGGGAGATGCCCACTGTTAACATCTTGTGAACAGCACATTTATGTATCCCCAAGAGAGTTCTAAGGGGGAAACTCTTGAATCTAAAGTCAGAGTAGATTTAATGTTTGGAGATTTTGTTTTGAAAAAAGATACTCCTGTATGCACATGTATACACACACACAGAGTTAAGGTTCATTTCTATAACATGATTAAATAAAATTACATGGGCCGAGGTGTAGTTTAGTGGTGGGATTCCTTCCTAGTATATGTAAGGCCTACATTTGATCCATAGTACCATATTAAAAGTAATAACTTTCAAGGTATAGGTGACTTTTTGGGGGATATTTGCAACTTAATTATTTGATAAAACTGAAGTTTTAGTTGAAAAGAGTGAATATTCAAGAAAACTATGATAAAATTTTGGTTAAAAAATAAAGATATTTCTGTTTGGGGCTAAGAATTATAATTTTAAGTCCATTACTCTGTTTCTTTTACTTAAACAAGTTCCTTCTTTATTCATGTCTTAATTTCCTTTATAATATGCCCATAAAAAAGGTTCATATCTTGATTCTGTCACTTCCAGGTATGAGGAGCAGCCATTCTTGTTTAATTGTGTATAACAGCTGCCCTGTAATTGCATTTTATTTGTCAGACGGGCTGTTCATTTTGGTAGTCAGGAGCTATATGCTGGTCATTGAGCTCTTGAAATACAGCTAATTTAACTAAGGTGACTATTAAAATAAAATTTTCTTGAGTATTGATTCAGTTATTGGAAAACTTTTAGATGTGTTTTAAGCAACTTGGATACGTGAGTTTATCAATTGTATAGTTTATGAAATTGAAATATAGTTAAAGTATTTCTACTGAAAATGTATACAAATTGAAATGTGCTATAAGTGTAAAGTACATACTGTATTTAGAAGCCTCATACACAAAAGTGTAAAATATTGAAAACTTTCTATGATATGTTGAAATGATACTTTAGATAAATTCGTTAAATAAAATATATTATTAAAACTAATTTTACTTGTTTCTTTTTAATTTTTAATGCAGTGTCTAGCATGATGCTGTCAATAGAAACAAAATGTGAAGAGCCAGGCATGGTGGTGCATGCCTGTAATCCCAGCACTTGGGAGGCCAAGGCAGGAGGATTGCTACACTTTTGAGGCTAGCTTGGGCTACATAGCAAATTTGAGGCAAGCCTGGGCTACATAGTAAAACCCTGTCTCAAAAACGCCAAGAAAAAAAAAATTTTAATGCTAAGAAAAAATTTTTTTAATGAGACACATAAAAAATGTAAATTTTTTAGTAGCCACTTAAAGAAAAATCTCATTTAAATTTTACAGTAAAACCTGGAGGTAGGTAATTGTCTCGAAGATATCCTATGGAGAGGGAGCCAGAAAAAAACAATTAAATTCAGAGTTTTAAGTGACTTATTTAAATTTATTCAGCTAGTAAATAAATACTAGACTATATTTCAGCCTTACATAACACGTATTCAGTTTTTGTGCTTAGTTAAATTCTATAAATAGTTATTTCTATTAAGTTTATTTATTTTAATCCTGCCAAACAACAAAGTGACCAAGACAGCAAAAACTTCCAGCATCAATTTAAAAGAATAAAATAGTTCAAAGTCAGAATTAGGAGGAGAAACTCAAAACAGGCCGTGTAGCTGTTGTTGAGTCGGCCAGAGTAGGAGAGGGGCAGTTAGCTCCACGGGTCCAATGCCAGAATCCAAGAACAAGCCTGCAGGGGCCAGACTGCCCAGGGTGAACTCCACCTTTCCTGTTTTGCTGTCGAGTGATTGAGAACAAGAGTTTGGATTGTTCCCCTTTCCTTCCCTTTCTTCTTCTCTTCCCCCTTCTCCTGTCTTGTCTCCCCCACCTTTTTTCTTCTCTTTAAGCTCTTTGACAGTATGTCAGTGTCCTCATCTGTAAAATGGAGACAATCCTAACCTCTACATAGGGTTATTATGAAGACTGAGTTAATAAATGTTAGACATTTATGATTTGTACATAAAACATTACCTATTTTATCATTTCCTAGAGGAGAGCAAACCCAGCTTATGGAAGTACTGAATTCTAAGAGATTGTCTTCCATTCGTCTTTATCATCAGGGTTTATGTCAGAAACAGTACCCATGGCATTTTATACCAGAAATAGTAAAACATGTCCCCAAAGGTGTGTAACCTTTCACTTGTGTGGTTTAGACACCATCTCAGAAGTTTCCTGTTCCATATCTATGTATATGTATGGTGCACATGGGACAGGAAGATGACAACTTGCAGGGATTGCCTCTCTCTCTCTGCCCGTATGGATCTGGGGAGGGAACTCAAGTCTGTAGACCTAGTCAAAAGTGCCTCTACCCTCCGAGCCATCTTGCTGATCACAAGTTGAGTATCTAAAGTTTATTTTAGGAGTAGAAAATTGGGATCCAGGACCAAATTTTCTACAGTTGTCTTTTGGAAAATTATTTTGAATTTGCTGCCAATCTATGCAAATGAAGGAACTTCACATAGAAGTATGGGCTTCTTCTATAGTTAGAAAGATCAGAAGCTTTGGCAACACGATGTCCAGGTGGGAGTCAGAGGGCTGGGCAGCGTTCTGTTTCTCCCTGGCTTCAGCCCGCCTGCTCTGTCCCATTTCCTGTGTGTGTGTCATTCCTGTCAGTGTACTCCAGCTGTCCTCGACTTGGTAACCCTGAAACACAGTGCTTGCCATGAAGTCTCATGCGTTCTAAGAGACATTTCTCTGCAGCTTCTCCAAAGCTTCTGTCCCTAATTACAAACTGTATCCTTAAAGATTTGTCTGTCTGTCTGTGCATGCACGCATACACATGCTTTGTTCTTTAATTTTTTTTAAACAATTGTGTCATAAATATAGTTTTTTTAAAAAAAAAACTCAATTTTTTTTTTTTTTTTGGTTTTTCGAGAAAGGGTTTCTCTGTGTAGCTTTGCGCCTTTCCTGGAACTCACTTGGTAGTCCAGGCTGGCCTCGAACTCACAGAGATCCGCCTGGCTCTGCCTCCCGAGTGCTGGGATTAAAGGCGTGCGCCACCACCGCCCGGCAACAAACTCAATTTTTTTTTTTTTTTTTTGGTTTTTCGAGACAGGGTTTCTCTGTGTAGCTTTGTGCCTTTCCTGGAACTCACTTGGTAGCCCAGGCTGGCCTCGAACTCACAGAGATCCGCCTGGCTCTGCCTCCCGAGTGCTGGGATTAAAGGCGTGCGCCACCACTGCCCGGCCTCAACAAACTCAATTTTTAATTGAGATTTAGTTTCATGTGTATGGTGTCTTGCCTGTCTATATGCCTATGTACCGTGTGCATGCATTGTCCAACAAAGCCAGAAGAGGGTTTCAGATGCCTTGGAACTGGAGTCACAGCTGGTTGTTAACCGCTTTGTTGGTCCCAGGCCCACTGGAAGAGCACTCAGTGCTCTTAATTGTTGAGCCATTTCTCCATCTCCCCAGAAATACAGTTTTTATATATTTCTTTGCCTAGCAACATTATTAACTTGGTTCTCAGAGTTGCTCTCTATGTGGTTAGTACTGTTACCTGAGAACAAAGGCAATTCTTTTTCCTTCCTTTATAACATGTTTCTCATCTGCTTACTACACTGTATAGGTACTGCAGTATTAAAAAGAGACAGTATTTAATTCCAGCACTTGGGAGGCAGAGGCAGGAGGATCTCTGTGAGTTGGAGGCCAGCAAGCTCCCAGACACCAGGACGACATAGAAAGACACTATTAAAAAAAAGAGGAGGAAAAGAAAAAGACAGTGATAGTAGGCATCCTTATTAAAAAACCTTAAACTACATATTATGACTAAATATGGTGACTGTCATTGCCTTTAGGTAGTTATCCTTTTTCATAAGAAAACTCTTGATACTTAATTTCATGAAATGCCTTTTCAGTGTGTGCTGAAATAGTCATGGTTTTCTCTTTTAATCACTGTTAGTGATTTTTATTAATAGCTACTCTGCTGCTATAGTCTCTTTGTAGATTTTCTTTTACATTGCTAGATTGACCTTACCAGTATTCAAACACATATATTACCTTACTTCATTTTGTTTTGTCCCTTAACATGCCCTAAAAAACAGGAGCTGGGCATGTAGCTCAGGTGGGGGAGGGTATTTGCCTAGATACACAAAGTCTTGGGTTATGATGTATACCTGTAATCCCAGCTCTCTGGAGGTGGAGGCAGGAGGATCAGAAGTTAAAAGTCATGCTAGGCTATATGGAATTTGAGGCCAGTCTGGGATATATGGAACTTGTCTCAAAGAAGAAAAAGAAATAAAAGTCCTAAAAACTCCGGGCAGTGGTGGCACACGCCTTTAATCCCAGCACTTGGGAGGCAGAGCTATTGTCTGTGAGTTCAAGGCCAGCCTGGTATACAGAGCTAGATCCAGGAAAGGCACAAAAAACAAACAAACAAACAAACAAAAAAACTATACTGAGAAACCCTGTCTCCAAAAACAAACAAACAAAAATGCTAAAAACAATGATCACACCATTAACAGACCCTGATTGTGATCTCCAAATGCTATTTCACTTTAAAAGTGTCTGAGCCCATTAGAATGATGACAGATCCTAAATGCAGGTTAAGAAATGTATAAGACAAGTTAGAACCATTAGTCTATGTCAGGAGCCAGAAAGACTAGCTACAGAGGTTGTTACTAGAGGTTTCAGTAGTCATTGGAAGAGTCTGTTATGCTCCCAACTCTGGTGACTGAATATTGAGGTTAATAGTGTAATTGATTAAAAAAGACGAGCCCTCCCCCAATCTAGCAACGCGGGTATTGAACCCAGGCCCTAAACTTGCTAAGTGTGTGCTCTACCGTAGAAGCCCATCTTCAGCATCAAGCAGGTTAGTACCCATGAAGGCAAGCTAATATTTAAACAGAATTTTTTTTTTTTTTTTGGTTTTTCGAGACAGGGTTTCTCTGTGTAGCTTTGCGCCTTTCCTGGATCTCACTCTGTAGACCAGACTGACCTCGAACTCACAGAGATCCCCCTGGCTCTGCCTCCCGAGTGCTGGGATTAAAGGCGTGCGCCACCACCGCCCGGCTTAAACAGAATTTTATGAACTTCATTGGTCATCCTTAAAAGATACCACAGAATTAACTCATTTTGAAACTGGCCAATAGAAGGAAAGAAACATTTATCTTTACTTTTCTTTACAATGTTTCAGAAGAATTGATGGTAATCTGATGATTTGTATAGAGATGTTGCTTCTTGGAATTTTTATTTAGCCGATAAAGAGGGGAGTGTAAGAGAATTAGACTGTTAACCATCTTGCAACACCTGGTGATCAGAAGTACTGCTGATGTCTGAGGAAGAAAGATGATAGAGTGCCCCCTGATGAAAGTGAACATTGCTACCTGAGGGTGGCACATATTTGCAAGATCAAATCAAAACAAACCTCACTGAAAAACCTGCATCTGATCAAGCCATTTAACTTATATAATGGGAAGCAGTTCTTGTCCATTATGTAAAAACAGTGTAATTGTATTCATTCCAGCATTGTTTTTCCTAGTAAAACATTGGAAACAACCTATTTGGTCTCAAAAACAGTAGGTAAGTTTATATTCACAAGTAGGGATGTGGGGTGGGGAGTAGAACAAATGATACAGTAAATGTGAATTAGAGTTTGTATTGATGGGGAGTGAGAAGATCAGGGATATGATATATTTTTAAATGTTTAAATGTTTAAACACCCAAAACAGCTTTTCTACATGTGTAGGTAGTAGGGACAGCAGTTTTGGGTGGTTGATTACTTCTGAAATGGAAAGGAAGCAAATGGTTCTGAGTCTTATTAACATACAGAGGCTTCAATTGAAGTTATGAAATATAATATATATAGATATATAATATAATATAACATCTATCTATCTATCTATCTATCTATCTATCTATCTATCTATCTATCTATCTATCTATCTATCTATCTATCTATCTCTATTTAAAGTAAGCCAGGTCTGGTGGTGCAGACCTGTAATCTACCTACTTAATCAGGATTGCAA